GGGGGGGGGGCGGGAGAACGCCTTTTTCAGAAACGGCGTTTCTTACTCGGGTTTGAACCCGAGTCTATGCGGTAACAAACAAGCCTGCACTTAGCACGTGCGGTTACTGATCGTACCGATAGTTATTGTATCAATACTGTCATTTATGTTACACTTACATATCTACATGAATATACATCAAATATGTATATAAATCAATCACACAGACTTTATGGTTTGTGTAAAAGATTTACATGAGGCTAGTGACTCGTTCGTCACATTGTAATGCCGACTCTGATTGTATGAGTTAGCTTACTCCGCGATACATGATACTGCATAAATATAAAAAATTTATGCACATTTTTATAAACATAATAACTGGAAATATTCTATAACCGAATAAAATATTAGGTGTACAACTTTGCTTCCGCCGTTATTTTCCGAAATTCGAGGCTTTATTGTAAAAAACTGGTTATACATTTATGATTCAAAGTATTGTCCATCGCTGGCCACTACTTTCTCCTATCTTTCGGGCAGCGTACGAATCCCGCGTTGAAAAAACTAAAATATTTTATGGTAAAAAATTATGAGAAAGAGAAATGTATCAGTTATATTAATTCGGAACTGTATAATCAATAATAATTGTATGTTCTTTTCTTCTTGTATTATATATTATATAATGTTATGTAGATGTCTTTAAAAATTAGCAAAAATTATTATTAATTATAACGGAGCACTTGAAGTTTTATTGCATCCTAGAAACAAAATTATATGTTTGTGTTTTCTGCATATTACTGTGCGAGATATTATAATACCTATCGAATTACTCGAAGTAATGACATTACAAATAAGCGTAACAAATAGAATATATTTGTAAACCAAATAAAATAAGAAATCGCTGATTTCTCCTCTTAAAATTCAAAATAACTGTAAAATCTGACGTAATGGAGCAATTAGGACAGTAGCATTGTTTATTATGGCCTAAAATATATAAGAAACACCAACTCTGATTATAGTTACCTGATAAAAATTTTTTTGTCCGCCTGTGTAATCTTATTTGACTCATCTTCATCAAAATAATAATTTTAAATTATACTTTTTTTAAATCTGGAAGTAATATTTTTAGAAACTATTTTTTGCATTGTATTAATTTATATCAACAAAGAATTATCTACTTGAAAGTTTGCAATCAATTTAAATCATAAAAAGGATTTATCTATTTTTAAATAATCAATTTTATTTGTTTTTATTTATTAATTCTAAAATATAATTCTAATGAAATTAATTTTACTTTAAAATCCGGAAATAAATTTCAAAAATATTATTAATGGAGTATTTTTTTTTAAATGTAACAATTATGCTAATCATATTGTATCTAACGATTTTCCAATTTCACAATCCGGCATATTAGGAAACGATTTCTTTAAACAAACCTCGTCGAAAATAGATTACGCACAAGGACACTTGGATGTTTCCGGAATCAACATACATTTCTTATCACCTGAAGCCATTATAGTAGCTCCGCGATCTGAATCATTATTTTATATAAGAATAGAAAATCCAGAAATAAAAATGGGATACATACCAAGATTAAAAATAGCACATGGAATTTATTTGGGAGACACCATCGTGGAAAACGTTTCTGGAAAGGCATATTTGAATGTTATAAGTTCTTTAGATGAAGAGGCGGAAGTACATGTTCCAACCTTGCGAAAAATATCTAAAACCATTGGGCGAATTATTAAACAACCATAATTCAAATATCGAGACTGCAAGCAGCTCAGAAGAACCAAGGAACAAGGAAGAAGAATTAACTTACTTACGAATTTGACGGTTATGAAAATAAATTGAATATCAGAAATGAAGGTGAAAACGAAAATGAAGAAAATATTATTATCAAATAAATTAACCATGAAGACGATGAAAAAACATTAAACCAAAAAGAAAATGAAAATACGAATAAAATTAAAAATGAAGACAAAATAAAAAATAAAACAGAGGAAAAATAAAAAATTAAACGATTTAAAAATCCTTAGAGAGAAAAATTACCAAACCTCTCCTGAAAATCTAATAAATTCAACCATTCCTGGAGGGGGAAACTACCAAACCTCTCCTAAAAATTTAATTAATTAAAAAATTCTCTGTCGTAACCCGACCGATCTCTTAATATTAAAAGATAAAACAAGTAAAGTAGAACAGAAAAAATTGAGAAAGAGCTGATTAAAGCAAAGCTTTAGAATCAGGGAAAGAACCCAAGGAAAAGTAATTAAGAAAGAATGAAAGATTATTAATAAAATAAAAATAAGATACGTGAATAAAGAGAATGAAGTCACGGTCAAGTTCTCGGAAGCTGAGTAAGCAGCTGACGAGACAGCTGACGAGCGGAGCACGAGACATGCTCCGGTCAGGGACATCATACTCCTCCCTAATCAACGATCTAATTAATTAATATATATTGAGCGCGACATGCACCGACGCTAGCTCAGTAATATAGCTTATTAACATCGCTTGCTACTCGCTCGCATATATGCTCATATCAACAGTATCGATATACCGTACGTATCGCGCCCGACTATTATAATCGCGACTAAGTGAAAGTGTACAAGAATCTGTGAAATATATCAATTTATACCTAACGTCCGGGAGTGTCTTATTTTAAGCGTGGATCCTGATTCTTTGGGCGTATAAATCCCTAAAGGCCTCTTCCTTAGCGGCTAGAGGCACAACAGTCCGTCCGAAATCGAAGCATGTCCGCGTTGTATTGTGGATAAGGGGGGAAGGGGTGTGAGTGTCCCGTTCGGGAAGTTTGGCCGAGCGTGGCGGAGAGGAAGGCAACCTCGCTAAAAAATCCCGGGCAGGCCAGGCTCGTCAGGCGTGATGAAGCCAACTGGCCTCGGTGAAGGAAAACACTAAAATCAAACCACCTTTTTGATCAACCATGAAATGAGTGACACTAAAGGTAATAAACTTTCCGGCTCAGTGAGCCTCGGAACCCACAGGGCCCGGCGTGGGTTGGACATAGTCCCAGTCCCCTCCTCGTCGTCATCAAGCGATGGGCTACCCACGGCGTTGCCAACGAGCGCCGTGTGCGAAAGTGCTATCGCCGTAATAAAGGAAGTGCGGGTAGTCGCGGTGAGGGTGGACAGAACGGACTCCCTCAGCTCTAAGCTGAGGTCACGGTCCCTGTCCTCCTCCGCGAGAAAACATCCGTACGGAAGGGACGGAAGTCAAAGCCGGAGCGCGAGTCAGGCGCGCCCGGACGGCACAGAAAAAAATGTGGTGTCGCGGAAGGGCAGTCATCGCCCCTCTCCTGCGACATTATCGAGGGCCTCGCAGGTAACCTAGGAAGGGGACTTCGAGTCCTTAGGGGAGGAGGACCCCGACACCCTCCCCAGAAAAGGGGCAGAGGCAGACCCCCAACAACTGGGGAACATGTCGGGCTCCGCCAAAAGAAGAAGCGGGAGGCTGTCCTTCAGAAGGAGAGGGAGCGGGAGATGGAGGTCAGGAGGGCCTTATCGGATGATGTCCCACACCCTCTCCCAAAGAAGGAGCTTCGGGTCTTTGAGGCCCGTTGCGCGGGGGAGTTGGGACTCACTCCGACCCCTGACGTGGCGGCGAGGAGCCTGGAGGAGGCGGCGGCGATAGAGCGTATCGCGCCCTGCTCCGGCAACCTCAAGGGCTCTCTTCAGCGAAAGCTGCGCGAGGCCGCAACCCTCGTTAGGATAGCGGCGAGCACGCTCGCTGAGAGGGCCAGACAGATGGAGGGACAAGGGGAGTTAACTCTCCTGAGGAATGACCTCAAGTTCCTCGGGGAGAGGAACACCGAACTCCAGAAGAAGATCGGTGTTTTGCGGGGGAGCTCGACGCGATGCGTCGGGCGCAGTCCTCCCGTACCTCCCCGCCGAATTCACCCGGCAAGTCTTCTCGCAATAGGAGGGGGGTGCCGCGCATCACCTCTGAGGAGGTGTTGGTTGCCCCCATTAGAGTGGAGCAGCCATCTGGGGGCGAGGCTCAAGGGCCCCGCCGACCAACTCGGGGGGGAGGGTTTCGGGACCTAAGTCCCCAACGTCCGTCTCGGGGGGTAAGGGACTTTTGTCCCCAACGTTGGGGGGTACGGGGCTTATGCCCCCGGCGTGGGGGAAGACCGGGAAGGTATGGCCATGCGGCCCCCGTTGAGGGGAACTTCGCCCCCCCCAATCACTACCCCCCGGGGATCGTTGACAAGGGCACGCGCCAGTGGTACGACTGGTACACTGACCAAATCAGCGCCCTCATCGGCTATAGAGCGGCGTTGGAGAGTGGAAGTTCCCGCACTGGCGGGCCTCCTGTCCCCCGGAGCCCTGCGGGCGGTGCGCCCCCTCCTCCCCCTGCGTTAATACCGGCGCAGGCTTGGGAGGGAGGGCGGAGAAAGAGGAAGAAGAAGAAGAGGACTGGGAGAGGAGGCGCAAAACCTCCCCCCTTCTGCCACCCCGCGCGTCGGCTCGGTGGCGGCGGGGAGCCGCGTACCGGCCCCCGCTGCTCGTCCGACGACGTGGGGAGGACAGTTCCTCCCATACCGCCCACATCCGAGCGGACCCGCGATGATCCGTGGGCTCGAGTTATGGGACGAAGGGAGAGGAGGGCCCAGAGAGCTGAGGCCGTTCAACAGGCCCAGCCCAAAGGGCAGAAGAAGCCCGCCGCGAAGCCCCCCCAAACCCCGAAGAGTAAAGGGGGTCAGCAGTCGCGGCAGGGCAAACGGCAGCTCTCTGGGACTGTCAAGAGGAAAAGGCCCCCTCGTACGGCAGCGGTGACGATCACCTGCGCCGACGGGGGATACCAGGAGACTCTGGCGAAGGCCCGGAAAGAGGTCGATCTCCGAAAATTGGGGTTCGACTCCCTCCGCATACGTGAGGCTGCCACCGGGGCGATGGTGGTGGAGCTCCCGGGATGCGGAGAGAAGGAGGACCCCACGGCTGCCCAGAGGGCCGACGCCCTCTATTCCGAACTCCACCGGATCTTCGCCGGAAACGAGGGGGTGGCTCGCCTCATTCGCAAGGCTGAGCTGCGGCTCCGGGGGCTCGATCGCTCGTTGGCGGCGGCCGACAACGTGGCGATTATCGCGGGCGAGGGGTCTGCATCTCGGGGGACGTCCGGGTCGGGGACCTCAAATTCCCGACTCGGTATGGGCACGATATGGGCCCAGTGTCCCTTGAGGGCCTAAGTTGGCGACAGCACGGCTCATCCAGATTGGATGGTCCCGTGTAACTGTGGAGCTGCTGGACAAGCGCCCACTCCAGATGCCTGGAGAAAGGGCACGTCCAGCAGCACTGCAGCAGCCCTACGGATCGTAGCGGCTGCTGCTATCGCTGCGGCGGACCGGTCCACCTGGCGCGCAACTGCGCCGAGAAGGTGAGGTGCCCGGTCTGCGCAGGACTAGGTCGTCCGGCCGACCATAGCATCCCCCCCCTAAAAGGAGGCCGGACAGAAGGGGGCTTCCGACGTTCCCTTCAGCGACGGAGTCTCGGCCAGTTAGGCTGGCCGAGATAACGTCCGACACCCGTAAGCGGGTGTCGGACGATACGGGGGACCCTTTGGAGGCCCCCAAGGAGAAAAGGCCGCCCAGAAAAAAGGCCAAACCGAGGGCTCCCTCTCCACCTACATCTTTAGTTGAGATGGAGATGGCAATGCCAGAAAGGCCCACCATTAGTTAATGGCCCTTCGCCTGATACAGGCGAACCTCAACCACGCCTGCCGGGCGCAGGACTTTTTCCTGCATACCCTGGCGGAGCGTGGTTGTGGTTTAGGGATCGCGGCAGAGCTCTACCAAGTCCCCGAAACCAGCCCATGTTGGATTGGTAACGGGGCAGGCTCTGTCGCGATCGTGTGGAGGAACGACCCCATACTCCCCCGCTGTACGCTTATAGAGGCGGGACGGGGAGTAGTGGCGGTGCGTTGGGGGCCCATTTCCGTCTTGGGTTGTTACATCTCCCCAAACGTGGGCCTCGCCCAATATGAGGCGTTCTTGGACAGGGTGGCGGCCATTTATCGCCGTCAGCTGCCCCGTCCCGTGCTGGTGGCCGGGACTTCAACGCGAAGTCTATGTGTTGGGGTTCCCGGACTTCGAACGCCAGGGACGAGGCCCTGCAGGATTGGGCGGCGGCACTCGGCCTGTGTTTGCTGAACGGGGTCGAGGAGCACCCTCGTGCGGTGGCGGTCGGTCCCGGATTTATCCTGGGCCACCCCTGCCGCCGCGCGGATGGTTAGCAGTTGGCGGGTGACGACAGAGTGCGAAACATTCTCGGACCATTTCTATATTGAGGTGGTCCTTACCCGTCCCGGGGTGCTCAGCCGCTCCAAGGGCCGGGGAGATGCCCGGCCACGGAGATGGGCCCTAAGGAAATTAAGTTCGGACAGGCTAATCGCGGCTGTCCTCGCGGCCGACTGGCCGTGCCCTGAAGGTGAAGGGCGGGGGATTCAGGAAGAGGTTGATTGGTTCCGGGGCGCACTGCGCGATGCGTGTGATTTTGCAATGCCCCGGACCAACCCCCGCCTTCGCAGGGCGGCGTACTGGTGGTGTGAGGAGATCGCCGAATTACGGCGATCTTCAATAGCCGCCAGACGCCGCTTCACCTGGGCTCGGCATCGTAACGACGCCGAGAGAACGGCCACGGCGTATGAGTGTTTCCGAGTCGCACGGAATACACTCAGCGCCGCGATTAGACGGGCCAAGGCTAGGGAGTGGGACAAATTTCTCCACTCCCTAAACTCAGACCCATGGGGGCGCTTATAAGCTTGTTCTTAACAGGCTGAGGCCATGGGCTCCCTCGGTAACGGAGTTCCTTGATCCCCAGGTCCTCGACAAAGTCCTGAGGACCCTCTTCCCTTTAGAGGGTCCCCCATTCTCCGAGAGCGGCGGCCAGGAGACCGCCGTTCCGTGGACTGAGGACCTGGAGGTGACGGAGGACGAAATGGCCGGGGTAATCCGCCGATTGAGACTGCGGGGCAATAAGGCCCCGGGCCCCGACGGTATCTCCGATCGGGTCTGGGTTATGGCCTTGGCCCACCTGTCCGAGCGCTTGAGGCAGCTCTTCACGAGCTGCCTCAGGCAGGGTTATTTCCCACAGCTTGGGTGAGGGCCAAATTGGTCCTCATCCCCAAGGGGGGCGGGCCTGGGAATTCCCTTCCCGCTTACCGGCCGATTTGCCTGCTGGACGAGGCGGGCAAATTGATGGAGCGAGTGCTGGTAGACCGTCTCGTCCGGCATTTTTCCCGGAGTGGTGCGGATCTTCACCAGGAGCAATATGAATTCCGCGAGAGAAGATCTACGATCGACGCGATCATGCGCGTTCAATCCCTCGCGGAGTCCATCATAGAGGAGAACAGGGTGGTGATTGCGGTGTCATTAGACATCCGCAACGCTTTCAACACCCTGCCCTGGAATGGAGTGAGGGAGGCCGCTATCAGCTTTGGCCTTACACTGATAGCAGTGTACTCCTACGCGGAAGGGGAGTGTACTGCGGGGTTCCGCAAGGGTCAGTTTTGTGCTCCACCTTGTGGAACCTCGCGTACAACAAAGTCCTGGGCACTGCTCTCCCCCCTGGCGGCAGTTTCGTCGGATATGCCGACGACACGATAGTGCTGGCCGGGAGAGATAGCTGTGGAGAAGCCGTAAGAACGGCCAACGTCGCGGTGGCGTGCGTCGTTCGCGCGATCTACGGCATGGGCTTGGAGGTAGCGCCTCACAAGTCTGAGGCGCTCTTCGTCCATCGAGGGAAGCGGAACCGCATGAACGGAGCCCCTCCCGGAAACGGCCTGTGTCGTGGTGGATGACACCTCCGTGCGGGTGGGGACCCAATTGAAGTACCTGGGTCTTTACCTGGACGCTATCTTCGGCGGGCATTTCGAACGTCTGGCCCCCAGGGCGGAGGCAGTGGCTCAAACCTTGAGCCGCCTCCTGCCCAATTTAAGGGGGCCGGACGGGAAAGTGCGCCGCCTATATGCGAGCGGTGGCCCTTTACGGGTCGCCATTGTGGGCGGATGCCCTGATGGCGAGTAGGCGCAGCATGATGCTGCTGCGCCGAATTTTCAGGCGGGTCGCCATCAGGGTTATCCGCGGATATCGGACGGTGTCGTATACGGCGGCCTCCATACTGGCGGGATTGCCGCCCATCGAGTTCTATGCACAGATGTACGCCAAGGTTTATCGGCGTACTAAGGAGGTCGATGGGCTAGGCGTAGCTTTGATCCCGCGGGTCAGGGCTGCCGTGGGGCTCCAGGCTCGACGACGAATGCTGGAGAGGTGGAGCGAGGACCTCTCCAATCCCCGAGACAACTCGGGGATGCGCGTCGTCGAGGCCATCCGCCCCCGTTTAATAAAACGGGTGGAAAGGGCGGATGGCAAAGTGTCATACCGTGTGACACAGATACTGACGGGCCATGGATGTTTTGGCTCGTTTCTGTGCCGCATCGGGCGCGAAGCAGACGCGCGCTGCCACCATTGCGGCGGGGACGAGGATACGGCGCAGCACACGCTGGAACACTGTCCAGCGTGGGCGAAAGAGCGCCGTGTCCTCGTTCAACAATTGGGGGGGGGGGAATGATCTCTCGCTCTCGGCCATCGTTGCGGCGATGCTTGAGAGCGGGAGGTCCTGGAAGGCGATCTCCTTCTGCAAAGCCGTCATGCTGCAGAAGAAGGAGGCCGAGAGAGAGAGGGAGCGACTTCCTGGCGGACGCCGGGGAGCCCTCGGGCGCGGAGGCGCGACCGGTGGCGGAAGAGGGAGGCGGGGAGGGCCTTTTGCTGGCAGGACCCGCCAACCCTCCACGTCTTTCGGTCGCGGAGGCACGACACGTAAGTGCCAGGAGGCCCCATGGGGGGGGGGGGTTCGACGGGCGCGGGTACTGTTGCCCCCGTCGCCTACAAAACCCTCCCCAGCAACGGGGTGGCGCGAGTGGGGGGAGCGGACCTGGGGCCTACTGGCTCCGGTCCTTGTCAGCTCCCTCCACAGATGCGCAGGGCCCGAGCGGGTTGGGGGGGGCTCTCGTCTCGTCAAAAACGCCCTACCCCAAGCCGGGCCCGGTGGCCGGGGACCCAAGTAAAGTACCTGGGCCCGACCACGCCAACCCCGCCACGCCAACGGCGGGATGTGGATGAGAGGGGCAGTGGTCTTCCTCTCCCCAGTACGAGCAGGAGTCCCCACAACAACAGGGACCCTGGGGGGGGACTTCACTCCCCCCAGCGAGCTAGGCTCGTGGGCGGAAGGCCTCTCCGAAGTAGTGCAAAGGCCAGTTTCCGGAGAGGCCCTCAACAACGCTCAGGTGTAGGCCACTCGGAGGGGTTTTAGTGGGTAGTCCCTCGGCTTTGTTTAAGCCGAGGGCGAGTCCCACATAACCCCGCCTCGAAACCCATCAAGGCGGGGTATGCGTAAAGGCATTTCCCCTCCGTAACCAAAAAAAAAGGTTAGGCATATATATATATATATA